CCACACTGTCTTGATTCCCATAGCATTGTGGTATATTTTAAAATCAGGAAGTGTGAGTCCCCCAACTTTATTCCTCTTTTTCAAGATTTTTGTTTTGGCTTTTCTGGGTCCTTCTGATTTCTGTATGAGTTTAAAATCAGCTTGCCAGGCCAGGCATGGTGGCTCACGCCTGTAATCTCGGCACTTTGGGAGGCCAAGGCCGGCTGATCACTTGAGACCAGGAGTTCAAGACCAGCTAGAGTAACAAGACCAGCTGAGGCAATAAGACCAGCTGAGGCAACTCTACCAAAAATACACAAAAATTAGCTGGGCATGGTGGCACATGCGTGTACTTCCAGCTACTCGGGAGGCTGAGGCAGGAGAATCGCTTGAACCCAAGAGGCAGAGGTTGCAGTAAGCTGAGGCTGTGCCACTGCACTCCAGCCTGGGTGACAGAGTAACACTCCATCTCAAAAACAAAAACAAAACAAAAAAACCAGCTTGTCAATTTCTGCAATAAAAATAAAAATGAAAATAAGCCAGCTGAGAGATTTTGACAGGAGTTGTGTTGAAACTATAGGTAAATTTAGAGAGTACGGACTGACATCTTAACAGTTTTGGGTCTTCTGACTCATGCGTATGAAATGTTTCTCCGTTTATTTAGATCTTCAATTTCTTTCAGCAATGTTTTGTAGTTTGTAGGTCTTATACTCCATTTGTTCAATTTATTCCTAAGTATTTTATTTGTTTTGATGCTATCGGGAGTGGAATTGTTTTCTTATTGATGAATTTAGAAAGCACTGTCTTCTCTGGCATCGTGAGGGTTGGGGAATTTTAATGGTTCGTCGTAGAATACTCTTGATGAATTGAGAATGATTATTGCCAGGCACCATGGCTCATTCCTGTAATCCCAGTTCCTTGGGAGGCTGATGCGGGAAGATCACTTGAGCCAAGGAGTTCGACACAAGCCTGGGCAACAGCATCTCAAAAAAGAGAGAATGATTATATGTGATGTATGTGGATATTCAAATATGGAATATAGTAAGGTACCACCAGTGACCAAAGTCTGGCTGAAATCCCTAAATCCTTGAGGAGTCAGAAGATGCTTCAGGATGCTCTAGAGCTCCAGAGTTGGCATCCCTTGGGTCTCCTATGACACTTTCTGTCAGCACCCATATTACACTGTATCACAATGTGTGCATGCATGTTCCCTAGTACACTGTGGGAGCCCAAAGATAAGGAAGATCTCATTCCCGCTTCCTCTTCCTTCTTCCTCCTCCTTTTCCTCTTCCTCTCCTCCTCCTCCTCCTCCTCCTTCTTCTTTCTTCTTCCCCTTTTTTGTGAACCAGAGTCTCACTCAGTCACCCAGGCTGGAGTGCAGTGGCACGATACAGCATCAACTTCCCAGGCTCAGGTGATTCTCCCACCTCAGCCTCCGAGTAGCTGGGACCACAGGAGCACACCACCTTTTTAGAGTCAGAGTTTTGCCACGTTGCCCAGGCTGGTCTCAAACTTCTGGGCTCAAGTGATCCTCCCATCTGCCCTCCCAAAGTGCTGGGATTACAGGGGTGAGCCACCAAGCTCAGCTTTCTTTTCTTTTTTATTTTTATTTTTTAAATTTTTTAAATTTTTTTAAAGACAGGGTTTCACCATGTTGGCCAGGCTGGTCTTGAACTCCTGACCTCAGGTGATCCACCTGCCTAGGCCTCCCAACGTGCTGGGATTACAGGCATGAGCCACCGCGCCCAGCCTTCTTTTTTTTAAATTTAAATTTTAATTTTTAAGAGACAGGGTCTCGCTATGTTGCCCAGGCTGGAGTGCAGTGGCTATTCACAGGCGCCATCCCACTACTGATCAGCACGGGAGTTTTGACCTGCTCCATTTCCGACCTGGGCCGGTTCACCCCTCCTTAGGCAACCTGGTGGTCCCCCGCTCCCGGGAGGTCACCATATTGATGCTGAACTTAGTGCGGACACGCGACCGGCATAGCACACTACAGCCCAGAACTCGTGGGCTCAAGCAATCCTCCCACCTCAGCCTCCTGAGTAGCTGGGACTACAGGCACGTGCCACTGTGCCCGGCAAGCCTTCTTCTTCTTCTTCTTCTTCTTTTTTTAAGAGATAGGGTCTCACCCCGTCATTCAGGCCGAAATACAGTGGCATGATCAAATCTCACTGCAGCCTCAAACTCCTGGCCTCAAGTGATCCTCCCACATCAGCCTCCCCAAGTGCTGGGATTGCAGGCATGAGCCACTGCACCCAGCCAGGACTATGTTTTATGATTTTTTGCATCCTCAGTGTTGAATATCATGTCCAGTACACGCTGGATAGTCCATGCATACTGACCGCTTGCCGTGACATGATCTGTTTCTGATGAACAGACTTGAGAACAGGCATACCACAATTGTCTGTGCCACCCTGCTAAAGGGCAGGACAGTGCCACCACATCTACCTCCCCACCACTCCTTTACGACCCAACTGAATTGGACTAGGACTCTACCCAACACTAAACTGGGCCAATCAGCTTCCTTTCCTGAAGATTCGGAAGTGGGGCACTGAGCAGCTGAGTCAGGTGTGTTTGCAGAGCTGTTACAAGCCCACGGAAGCCCTGTGCATGATCATGCATACACAGCAGCCACGAGGAAACAGAAGGGAGCCAGTCTGCAGAAAAGGGCAGAAATGAGCGCCACAGATTCAGAGGGGCAGTGGTCTTGGGCCCTGGTGGTTCAGGGCCCAGCTCCCTGTTCCACAGAATGACACCAGGCTGTACTTTCTTGCTATGCAATCTCTCTAAACTGTCAGAAGCTACAAACCATCAGCTCATCAACCAAAGCTTCACTGCAGATGCATTTTATTGAACTCAAACGTCATTTGAACATTTTTGATCTAATACACTAATATTTGGAGATTTCACAGAAAAACCTAGACTCCTCTCTTAAACGTTGGAAGAGCCGGTCACACTGGACAGACAGTGGCACATCAGGTGGAAGGGAGTTGCAGCCACCCTCTGCAGACAGGGCTGGTGTTTCTCTCTCTGCTACAGTCCCTGCTCTTGTTCTTTATGCCTTTTCCATTTCACTGATTTGCATTGCCTGACGTTCTCCAGTAGGAAATTAACTACTGATCCCAGTCTTACAATAAAGCTTGATTTTTACATTTTAATTAGCCCAAGTAGAATTTATTCCTCTTGCAATGGAAACAGCGCTGATGAGGGCACTGCAGCCTACACAACCATGGCAGGCTCCTCTTCGCAACCATCGCCCATCCAACAGCCATTGCTATTATTCTTCTGTGCTAACAGAATCCCAGTTTTGTGTTCAAGAGGCTGTGGGCATCCATTAATACTGGCAGGCCCTTTCTTCCAGCCCTACAGCAGGATGCGTGCTAGGATCAGCACACCACCCTGGTCTGATCAATGAGAAGCAACGGTAAATCTGCTGGGGGACTTCCTTTTCTAACCAGAAGCAACAGACTCTTCTGAAAGAAAACCTTTTATGACTGCCCCTTTCCCATTCTATCTTCTTCAAAAATAAATATGACATCTGGCACAGGGCAGCCATTTTGTGACCATGAGGTTTCAAGCACAGAGTCAAATGGCCAACATGTAGAGGATGGTGAAAAGGAAAGTCAAAAAGAAGCTGTGTTCTTGATGATACTGTCGAGTGTTGAACCTTTCCTGATCTCTGCCTGGTTTTGGTTCTAATGGTTTAAACCACTATTGACTGGGATGACTGTTATTAGGTTGGTGCAAAAGTAATTGCATTTGGGAGACCGAGGTGGATGCATCACTTGAGGTCAGGAGTTTGAGAAACCCTGTCTCTACTAAAAATACAAAAATTAGCCAGGCATCAAGGCGGGCACCTGTAATCCCAGCTACTCAGGAGGCTGAGGTGAGAGAATCACTTAATCCTCAGAGGCGGAGTTGCAGTGAGCTGAGGCTTTGTCTCAAAAAAAAAGTAATTGTGGTTTTTGCCATTGAAAGTAATGGCAGGGGAGACTCTTGATCTCATCATTCAAGGCTTTCTATTGCTTAATATTATATTAAAAACAATGAATATCCATATCCATTTCAAAGTTAATTCCTAAGATACTGTTTCATGCCACTGGGAACACCACCAGGGTCAGTTACATGTTTTTGAGAATACTTGAGGAGAAAGACAGAAATATATAGCTCTGGCTACATTAAATATCTGCCACTTTCTTAGATCCTTCCTAACTCTGAAAGAAACATGGCATTTCCATTAACGAAAATAGGAGCTTTTTGAATAGGATTGTTCAAAATTAGATACAAATGTCTTTGGCTAAAGGTCTCGTGTATTCAGAGGTTTGGGTGCCTTTTGTGATAGCTCTTGTACCATTTGATAATATTGATTTTTTGAAAAGGGCAGGCTATTTAGAAGGCAAAGAGTTTTTAACTTTCATTTCTCATGTAGAGAAAGCCCTCAAGTGTAAACCCCTTTACCCCAGTCCCTGGGAAATATTCCTGCCCACCAAGCACTCTTCCCCCACCAGCCCCCAGCTCACTGGGTTATTCTAGGGTGAGGGAGCAGACACGATCATCCAGCAGCATCTGACCAGCCGGAAGGCAAAAGAGACAAGCAACAGTTCTGTGTTACCCAGGAGAGCTCAGCTGTCCAGAAGTAATGAGAGTTACAGCCACACATGGTTCAAGGAAATGTGGTTGTCAGAGAGAGGCAGGGATCTGCCAAGCCACCTCCTCTCCAACTGCCTGGGCTGAGGGGGCTGCAATCCATATTTTAAAGACACAGTATTGTTTGCAGTTGATCTAGAACTTGAGCTTGAAGAAGTCCCCATCATGACCTGCACACCATTAGAAGAAAGCATTGTTTCCAACAGGCTCAGCCACAATGTTGGCAGTCAATGGTACATCTTTCCCCATTGTTGTAAAGGAGATGATCATACCAAAGCATTGAGATGATTTCCGATGAACAAAGGTAGCTAGGCCGTTAGGCTGGACTGTCACTAGGACGTGATGACAGTGAATAAACTTAGACTCTTGCGATGTCCATCACTGACATGTTTTAATAGGAGATGAACGCACACATTGGCTTCCTTGCAACGTCTACTTCAAGCAGTAGGTCAGTCGGCTCTGGCCTTTGATGGGATCTGCCAGCTCCCTCCCTCCTTGTCTAGGTCCCCTGCCTTCACCATGGGCAAAAAAGGCTTCAGTAAACCAAATCCCGGAAGTGATGTTGCCTGCAGAGACCAACTCAAAACCCAGTTGGCTTCCCTCCCCTTCCTTTGAAAACATACACGTTTCACACACCTGAGTCCTCCCGCCCCTCTCCATTCCATGCCAGGCTCCATGACTGGAACCCCAGGGGCTGCCTTTGTGTAATGACCAAGAAGGCCCTGGACAGAGGAGCAGCTTTGCATTCCCATGGGACAAGATGGTGGGCGTAGCATCCTTTTGGTTTCTCTGCCCATTCAGCCATCTACACAGAACCCAAAGCCCTGGCTTTTGGATTTTGTGCCTGGAACCTGAGTAAACTTTTTCCCATCAAGAGTCACCATTCAGGCCGGGTGTGGTGGCTCACGCCTGTAATCCCAGAACTTTGGGAGGCCGAGGTGGGCAGATCACTTGAGGTCAGGAGTTCAAGACCAGCCTGGCCAACGTGGTGAAACCCCGCCTCTATGAAAAATACAAAAATTAGCCGGGCATGGTGGTGGGCACCTGTAATCTCAGCTACTCGGGAGGCTGAGGCAGGAGAATTGCTTGAACCCGGGAGGCAGAGGTTGCATTGAGCCAAGATCGTGCAACTGCACTCCAGCCTGGGTGACAGAGCAAGACTCTGTCTCAAAAAAAAAAAAAAAGTCACTATTCAGCCTGACCAAGGAGGGGGTCAGGAAAGAATCCCAACCATGGCCTTGGCTGCTTCAGAAGGGGAGGCCCGTGCTCTGACTTGAGCTTGATTCACTTTCCTTTGACCTCAGTCCTCAGTTCCCAGGGGGTAACAGCTTCCTGAGGCTGTCACCCGGTACAAGTCCAGCTGTCCCCAGGGACACATCTGGATCCCTTGGTGCCAACAACGGCAACTCCAGAGGGGCCTGGGTGGGGGCAGGTGGCTCCAGTTTGAATGCACAATGTCCATCTGCCAGAGAATCCACTGGTCAGGCTCTAGGGAGGCAAACAGAGGGGGGCCCTGCCAGGAAATAGCTGCTGAGACCACGCCTAGATCACCTGCAACTTCAAAGAAGAAAGCCTGGGGCTGTGGGTGTGGGAGAAACCTACTGAACAGGTCCGGTGGGTGGGTGGCAGGTGTCACATGGGCCTGGGCCTGGACGGTATCTACAGAGAGATCTTTTGGTTGTTCACCGAGGGTGTGGCCGGGTGACTCTGGATGGTGTCCGATTAGTTGCTGGCATCACCAGACCCTCCTAATATGGGTAGTTTCCCCATGCAGATCCACAGGTTATGAACAAACCTTTCTCCACATATACAGAAAACTCCCTAGAGCCAATACCGCCCCATCCCTGGGTGGACCTCAATGAATATGAGCAAGCTGAGTCAAGACACAAAACCCTGTTGGTCCAGGTCATACTCTTGGGTGAGTTCTTGATGTTGGCAATCAGTGCCCCAGTTGGGGCCCGCCAGCCCCCTGAGCTCTGCAGCCTCAAAGACCAGCTCAGTCCCCCATCAGTCACTATTCCTGAGAGCCAGAGTTCGACCTGGTGACACCTGCACCGTGCATTCCTCGGCCGACCATCTCCTGGCCCCACTCCCGGTGGCTGGACTCCTGTAGTCCTCGGCCTTTGGTCTCGATGGGCAAAAAGCAGGAGGCCAGGGCAGCCAGGAGGCAGCAGCCACTGTAAACCGCCAGAGTCAGGTACACAGAGGATTCCAGCATCACCTGGGGAAGGAGACACAGGTTGGTGAAAGCATCCCTTCTGAAGCACAGACATCACCAACCACTGAACAGTACTGGTAACATCAGGCCCCCTCGTGATATCTGGTTACTAAAAAGAATCTGGTGATTCCCTCCTCTCCCACTTTGTCCCTCTCTCTCCATGTGACATGACTGCCCCTGCTTTGCCTTCCTCCACGAGTAAAAGCTCCCTGAGGCCTCACCAGAAGCCAAGCAGATGCTGGTGCATGCTTGTACAGCCTATAGAATTGTGAGTCAAATAAATCTTGTTTCTCTATAAATTACTTGGTCTCATGTATTCCTTTAAAGCGACACAAAGCAGACCAACACAGATGCCATGCCACAGCCCTATGAGCCAAGTACTTCATCCCCATTTTGCAAAGGAGAAAATTGAGGCTCAACGAGGATAAGTGGTTCCTACCCAAGTTCATATAGATAATAAGGATGGGGCTGGGATTTGAACTGGGGTCTGCTAAGCTTGAGTCTGGGCGCCTTATAACTCTGCTCTCCTCTGGGACAGTGCAGTGCCTGTGCCAGCTTCCTAGTTTTCGGCACATGGCACATGGCAGAGCTGAGTCCCATTTTCTCTCTCTCTCTTTTTTTTTTTTTGATATGGAGTCTCACTCTGTTGCCCACGCTGGAGTGCGGTGGTGTGTCTATGCTCACTGCAATCTCCACCTCCTGGGTTCAAGTAATTCTTCTGTCTCAGCCTCCTGAGTAGCTGGGACTACAGGTGCATGCCACCACGTCCGGCTAATTGTTTTGTATTTTTTGTAAAGAGAGGGTCTCGCCATGTTGGCCGGCCTGGTCTCCCATTCCTGACCTCAAATCATCTGCCTGTTTCGGCCTCCCAAAGTGCTGGGATTCCAGGTGTGAACCATCGTGCCCAGCCCATTTTTTCATTTGCCAAATGGGCATAGAGTGGTGTCACTTCCTAATGAGAAGACTCTTGAGGACACCTGGCACCATGCAGGCACATGGTGAACTCTCAACCAATATCAGTCAGGACTGCCATACAATGGCCAAAACCAAAGTAGAACAGAAACACTTGGCTAAACATGTCTTTGAATTCTATTTCTTTGAAATATTCAGACTTGGCAAATCTGCAGAAAGCAGATGGGTGGTTGCCAGGAGCTTGGGGGAGGTGGGGAATGAGAAATGACTGCTCAGTGGGTCCAGGGGCTTATTTTGGGGTGATCAGAAGGTTTTGGAACGACATAGAAGCGGTGGTTGTCCAAAGCTGTGAATGTGCTGAATGCCACTGAATTGTTCCCTTTAAGACGGGTAATTTTGTTATGTGACATTTATCTCAATAAGAAAGTGATGCAAACAGAAGAAAAACTAGATATTCAAAAAGCAAAGACTTACTAAGATCCCTAGATAGAAATGCTTCATGATACATGAAGAGTTGCAGAATTCTGCACTGACGTCTAATGATCTGATTCAAAAGGCAGGAACAGGCATATTTGTCTTCCACTAAATCATGTTGGCCTGCTTGTTTTCTTTCCTTTTTTTTTTTTCTTTTTCAGGGTCTCACTCCATCGTCCAGGCTGGAGTGTGGTGGCACAATCTCAGCTCACCGCAGCCTCTGCCTCCTGGGTTTGAGCGATTTTTGTGCCTCAGCCGGAATTACAGGCACCTGCCACCACACCTGGCTAATCCTTGTATTTTTAGTAGAGATGGGGGTTTCACCATGTTGGCCAGGCTGGTCTCGAACTCCTGACCTGAAGGGATCCACCCGCCTCAGTCTCCTAAAGTGTTGGGATTACAGGCGTGAGCCAGACAGTACCCAACCCTTCTTTCCTTTAGTTAAAAAAAAAAAAAATTCCGCTTTTGTCACAGGTTAGTGGGTCCACTGCAGGTTTGTTACATGGATATATTGCATGATGCTGAAGTTTGGGGTAAAAATGACCCCATCACCCAGGTAGGGAGCACAATACCCAATAGGTGGTTTTTTCAGCCCATGCCTCCCACCCTTCCTCCCCAGCCTAGAGGTCCCAGTGTCCACTACTCCCACTTTTATGTCTATATGTATTCAATGCTTAGCTCCCAGAGAACATGCGGTATTTGGTTTTCTGCTCTTGCATTAATTCGCTTACCATGGCCCACTGGTTTTCATCCAAACTGTTTTTAAGCAAATCATAAAGCAGCCCAAGGATCTGCTCCACAGGGAAGACCTGGTTTGACTTCTGGATTGTCTACTTTCCACTGCATGACCGTGGGCATGTCATTTTATCCCCTGAGCCTCTGTCTTCTCACCTGCAGGCAATATTTCCTCTGTCCCCAGGTGTGCTGTTAGGATAGAATGAGCTAATGCACCCCAAGGGCTCTGCAGACGGTCGGCATGTAGTAACTGCTGGCTGTGCGTTTTGTCACCCCCCACCTCTCTGTATTTGGGGGCAGCACCTACCTGGGCAATGAACGGAGTGATGAGAGCACCCACTCTTGCCATGCCACTGCAGGTGCCCAGGCCGAGGGCCCGTGTTGCCGTGGGGTAGACCTGAAACACCGGGGACAGATGTGGGCGTGGGGACATGCAGGTTCCTCCCTCTGCTCCAGCTCCAGGCTGATGGGACCAACACCAGGGGCAGCCCGGAGTCAGGGCAAATCCCTTTTGTATTGGTTATGCCCTTAAGGGACAGGGATCCTCGCCCCAAAGGGAATGGGAGGTTCAACTCAGAACTAGGGCAAGAGGCAAAGCTGTGGGTGAGAACCCAGGAAAGGGATCTTCCCTATCCGAGGGTGGGACTCCCCAAAGACTCTTCCACCAGGAACTGCCACACGTTCAGAACTCAGATGTCGCCCTCTACCTTCTTTTCACGAGTTCACCTTGAAGCCTGGGTCATGGGCTTTCAAGGAATTTCATAAAGAGAGATGGAAATGTTTACAGTCTCTCAGTTTGCACCCAGTAGGGTCCACGTGCCTCGTTCTCCCCTAGGCAAAGTGAGAAGGGATTGTGTATCTTCCAGGCCAAGGTCATTAAGAAGGGTGCATTTTCGCCTCTCCCCTCCCCTGTCTTCTGGCTGGGAGGAGGACTCCATGGCCCTAAGGCAGGGCTTCTCAGCCTGGGCACTACAGATGCTTTGGGGTGGCTCATTCTTTGTCATGGCGGGGAGGGTCTGCTGTGCACTGTGGGATGTTTAGCAGCAACCTTGGCCTCTACCCTCAAGATACCAGTAGCACTTCTGCGTCCCCCTGCTACCTTATAACAATCCAGAATATTCCCAGGCATTGCCAAACGTCCCCTGGGGTAAGATCCCTGGATAAGAAAGGCACAGGGTGTGAGGAGCCTGGGTCCCCAGATCACTGGAGGAGGAAAGCTGTCCCCTAACCTAGACCACCCATATTGGACTCTTATTTTATTTTATTTTATTTTTTTTTTTGAGACGGAGTTTCGCTCTTGTTACCCAGGCTGGAGTGCAATGGCGTGATCTCGGCTCACCGCAACCTCCGCCTCCTGGGTTCAGGCAATTCTCCTGCCTCAGCTTCCTGAGTAGCTGGGATTACAGGCACGCGCCACCATGCCCAGCTAATTTTTGTATTTTTAGTAGAGACGGGGTTTCACTATGTTGACCAGATGGTCTTGATCTCTTGACCTCGTGATCCACCTGCCTTGGCCTCCCAAAGTGCTGGGATTACAGGCTTGAGCCACCGCGCCCGGCATGGACTCTTATTTTATAGTATTTTATTCGCTTATTCATTTGAGACAGGGTCTCACTCTGTCATTCAGGCTGGAGTGCAGTGGCACAATCATGGCTCACCGCAACCTCTATTTCCCTCCCTGGGGTCAGGTGATCCTCCCACCGCAGCCCCACCCTGAGTAGCTAGGACAACAGGCATGTGCCACCATTCCCAGCGAATTTTTGTAGTTTTTGTAAAGATAGGGTTTCACTATGTTGCCCAGGTTGGTCGTGAACTCCTGAGCTCAAGCGATCTGCCTGCCTTGACCTCCCAAAGTGCTGGGTTTACAGAGGCGTGAACCACTGTGCCTGGCCTGACCGCTTTTATAAGCGACATGCTGCTCTTGTGTCAAAACACTCCACTTTGGGAGTTCTCCATTACATTAGCTGGCATGTTTCTAATAAATGAAATGCTCAGTGCAGAAAGCTTGCAAAGAATAAAAACATAAAGAGGAAAATATACAACTCATTCAGGATCGCAACACTCAAGAGATTTGTCACATTTTGATGTATATTCCTCTAGTTTTTTCTGTGGCTATCTATAGTACATGCATCTTCATTCACTTACTTATTCAGGACATATTTTTTGAGTGCATACCATATGCATTTATACATATTTCAATTCACCCAATTACATAAACAATATAGAAAAATATTCTCTTTGTAAAAAATCAAAATACCTAAATTCTTTCATGATCCACTCTCTCTGCCAGGAAAATTCTCCCCCTAGAACCCTACTATTAGGGATATCTTTGGAATGTGTATTCCCAGATATGTTAAAAAATATACATATGGAAATAGCATTTTAAAAATACATAAATGGTATCATATAATATATATTATTCTGCAATTTGCCTTTTCCATTCAGTAGTGTGTCTTAAAATCCTATCCACATCAATACATAGACATCTACCTCATTTTTTTTTTTTTTTTTTTTTTTTTACAGGGTCTTGCTCTATTGTGCAGCCTGGAGTGCAGTGGCGTAATCATGGCTCACTGCAGCCTTCACCTCCTGGGCTTAAGTGATCCTACTGCCTCAACCTTCAGAGTAGTTGGAACTACAGATATGCACCACCACAGTCTGGCTAATTTCTATTTTATTTTTTTAGAGAGAGGGTCTTCCTACGTTGCTCAGGCTGGTCTCGAACTTCCAGGTCTAAGTGATCCTCCCGCCTTGACCTCCCAAAATGCTGGGATTACAAGCGTGATTACTTATTCAGGGCATACTTTTTGAGTGCATACCATATGCATTTATATATAATATTTCAATTCACGCAATTACATAAACAATACAGAAATATATTTTCTTTGTAAAAGATCAGAATACTTAAATTCTCTCATGATCCACTCCCTCTGCAAGAGCCACCTCATTCGTTTCAATGGTTTCTGGAAGCAGAGCATCCCCCAAGCCACTTTCTCCCCACCGCCCGCTCCCAAGCAGCTCTCAGACACCCCTCCTACCTCAGGTGTGTAAACATATGCCGCTTGAAAGCCTCCAGAAATAAACGCTCTTGCAATGAAGAGTAACAGAGTGAGCACATTTCTAGGGGAGGAGGATAAAGACAGATAATGACATCTTTTTCTGTCTGCTTGTTTCAGCCTAGTCTTATCTTCCCAGGCAGTATTAACGCCCTTGCAATTGGCAAAGGTTACCCCTCCCCAACGCTCATTGATACAGGCATGTAGGCATACATATTTCAGTACCATCTTGACAGGCATGCTTTTACAAGTTCATCATTCTCCAAAGTACCCGGCTGAGAGAAGAAAACATCTGTGGCGCCCAGGATGGGTGCAAGATTAGGAAGAAGTATATATAAATAATGGAAAGCTCAGACAAGAACTTGGCTGAAGGTGCAGCAGGAACTGTGCCAGGGGCCAGTTGAGCTGGGGGAAGTAAACCACTATTCAGTATTCTTAGGATAATTCAGATTCCAACCCTCTGTCCCATTGTTCCCACAAATGTCCCAGAACACCAACATTTCAGGGTTGAAGCTACATCTCCCAAGTTTCCTCAGGCCAGGAGGTGGCCCACAGATTCCTCACCGGGTATGGCCTGGGGCCTCTCAGCGATCAAGAGAGGCATAAGCCTTTTCTGTATTTTGAGGCTCTTGGCGAATAGAAAAATGGAGAAATGCTAAAATTGGGTCAATTTGAAATATTTACATTGAACAAGTTAACAGTTTTAATATGCATATGAATTAAATAGCTACAGGTACGCTCTCATTGGGAGATGATGTCAAAAGTCTAAATTTGGCATCATGAAAGCAAAACTGGGGCCAAAGCTCCCCTCGCCCCGGACAACTCCCATCAGAGGCCCCCTCCCGGGGCCTGATCTTTTATTCAGTTGTGAGGCAGCCATGAGCCTCAGTCCTAGTGAGCACCTGCACCTTTACCTGTATCTGCACCTACCCCTGGGCCTGCACTGACACCGGCACTCCCACTTGTGCCCACACTTGGGCCAATATCTGCATCTGGGCCGACGCCTATACCTGTGCCCACACTTGGGCCTGTACCCACACCTGTGCCCATACTTGAATCAATACCCACACGTGGGCTTGTACCCATACCTGCACCCACACCTGGGCCTGCAGCTATACCTGTGCCCACACTGGGGCCTCCATCCACATCTGGGCCTGTACCCCGACTTGGGCCAACACCCACACCTGGGCCTGCACCTATACCTATGCTCATACCTGGGCCTAACCCACACCTGTGCCCACACTTGGGGCTATGCCCATACCTGCACCTAACCCACACCTGTGCCCACACTTGGGGCTATGCCCCTACCTGTGCCCACACTTGGGGCTATACCCACACCTGGGTCTAATCCACACCTGTGCCCACATTCGGGCTTATAAACACATCTGGGTCTGCACCCATGCCTGGGTCTACACAGACACCTGCACTCACACCTGTGCCTGTACCCACACCTACACCTACACTCACACCTGGAGCTGCACCTCCACCTGTGCCCATCCTCACAACTAGGTCTGCAGACACCCACCTTCCAACACAGATAAACAGCAGGAGGCTGCAGAAGGAGAAGATGGCGAAGCACAGGGCCATGGTCTTCTTGCGCCCCAGGCGGTCAATAATCCACAGAGTCACAAGGACACCTGGAAGGGGAGCGGGGAGGGGTAGGCAGCTCCCGATGTGGTTCCCAATGCCCCCCACCCTGGTGGCACAGCCTGTATCATCCCCTCCCCTGGAGGGTGGACAAGACCTAGTGACTCACTTCTAATGACTAGAAGACAGCAAAAGTGATGGGGTGTCACTTCTGAGGTCAGGTGATAAAAGACTGTGACTTCCATCTTGGTGTTCTCTCTCCCTGGCTCTTCTCATGTATTTGCTTTGATGGAGAAGACCACCTGGCAAAGAACTGAAGGTAGCCTCTGGCCAACAGCCAGCAAGGAACTGAGGCCCTCAGCGCAAAAACCATCAAGGAATGGAATCTTGCCAGCAACCACGTGAGTAAGCATGGGAGTGGATCCTGCCCCAGCTGAGCTTTCAGATGAGACTGCAGACCCTGGGCCAATGCCTTGATTGCAGCCACATGAAACATGCTGAAGTAGAACACCCAGAGAAGCCACAGCAAGTGTGAGATCATAAGTGTGCATTGTTTTAAGTCACTACATTTTCTTTTTTCTTTTTTTTTTGAGACAGAGTCTTGCTTTGTCACCCAGGCTGGAATGCAATGGTGTGGTCTTGGCTCACTGCAAATTCTGTCTCCTGAGTTCAAGCAATTCTCCTGCCTCAGACTCCTGAGTAGTTGGGATTATAGGTACCTGCCACCGTTCCTGGCTAATTTTTGTATTTTCAGTAGAGATGGGGTTTCATCATCTTGGCTAGGCTGATCTTTAAATTCTGACCTTGTGATCCACTTACCTCAGCCTCCCAAAGTACTGGGATTACAGGTGTGAGCCACTGAGCCCGGCCCTAAGCCACTACATTTGCAAGAGGATTTGTTACCTGGCGATAGATAACTAATCCAGGCACCCACAGGAGCCTGCATGGTGGCATTCACTGAATCCAGGCAGCAGAACACCCAGGTTCTAATGCCTCGTTTTGCCTCTAACTTGCCATGTGGCCTTGGGCTAGTCCCTTTCCTCCTCTGAGCCTCAATTTCTTCATCTATAAAATGGGCCTAAAAAATAACACCCTACCTCAGTAGAGGCAGTATTGCATAGTACTTATTAGTAATAATAATTTAATTTGAGCTAAGCATTTTTACATCTATATCTAATTTTTTTTGAGATGGAGTCTCGTACCGTCACCCTGGCTGGGGTCAGTGGTGCAACATTGGCTTATTGCAATCTCTGCCTCCTGGGTTCAAGTGGTTCTCATGCCTCAGTCTCCTGAGTACCTGGGACTACAGGTGCATGCCATTACGCCCAGCTAATTTTTGTATTTTTAGTAGAGACAGGATTTTGCCATGTTGGCCAGGCTAGTCTCAAACTCCTGACCTCAGGTGATCTGCCTGCCTTGGCCTCCCAAAGCACTGGGATTACAGGCATGAGCCACCATGCCCAGCCCCATTTTTACATCCATAATCTTGTTTAATCATCAAAACGATCCTCTAAAATAAATGCTATTAATTTATTGAATACATTTTCCCACAGTTATTCAGTTAATGAGCACCTACTGTGTGTCAGGAACTATTCTAGGAGGTTGGGACACATCAATGAACAATAAAACAATACACATAATAAATAAAGAAGAATCTGAGTTTCAGAGAGGTAAAATCACAGAAATTGTAAGTGCTTCCTGCTACAGAAATGTCACGTAACGTGACTTCCTTTCCTTTCCTTTTTTTTTTTTTTTTTTTTTTTTTATTCCCAGAGAGCAATTTATTAGGCAGAGAGAGAGAAAGAAAAGTAGAGAGAGCTCCCACACTGTTGCGGGAGGGGATCCCAGAGAGGGAAGTCCCATGACTTTCTTTTTTTTTTTGAGACGGAGTTTCACTTTTGTTACCCAGGCTGGAGTGCAATGGCACGATCTCAGCTCACCGCAACCTCCGCCTCCTGGGTTCAGGCAATTCTCCTGCCTCAGCCTCCTGAGTAGCTGGGATTACAGGCACGTGCCACCATGCCCAGCTAATGTTTTGTATTTTTAGTAGAGACGGGGTTTCACCATGTTGACCAGGATGGTCTCGATCTCTTGACCTTGTGATCCACCCGCCTCGGCCTCCCAAAGTGCTGGGATTACAGGCTTGAGCCACCGTGCCTGGTCAGTCCCATGACTTTCTTAAAGTCACAGAAATGGAGATTGGAAATGCTGAGTTTAACTTCTGAGCCTTCGTTCTTTCCTACTGAGCTATGTGGGGAAATGGTTTTAGAGGAAAGATAGGCAGTGCAGTATCGGACTGAAGACTCTGGATTCTAGGGTGAGAGCACAGCTCTTAGCCCTGCCTGCTGTGAGGTACTCAGTATCGTAGTTGGGTTTTCCCAGAAGCAAACCCTGGGACAAGGATATAAGTACAAGGCATCAACTTGGGAGGTAATCCAAGGAAGGACCAGCAGGAGAGCGGGGAGGTAAATTTGGGAAAGGAAAGCAACTGTCAAAAGGTGGGTATCGAGCAAGTCACCACTGTGGGCTTGAATTCCACTGGGGGACTCAAAAGCCAGCATAGAGCATGTGCTTTGGAGTCTTCCTGCTGATGGGCAAGGACACTGGGGTATTTGTCCACCAAATCCCACAGTTATTGTTTAAAGGCTGCTCCCAGGTGCTAACTCCCTGGCATGTCCTTCTACTTTGCTTGCTTTTAGGTACAGAGACTTCTCATTCCTTCTGAGATAGTCTTCAGGCCCAGAATCCTGGCAGTTGTATGTTGTGGGAACAGTTTCTGCTACACTGGGCAAATTATGTCACCACTCTGAGCCTCAGTTTCTTCAGTTGTAAAATGGGAATAACCATATGACTTCACAAGATTAAATGAGATCGTATCTGTAAGACATTTAACACAGTCCTTGGCATACAATAGGCACTCAATAAGTACTAGATATTATTGTAGTTGTAATAATGATTCCTCTTAAAGTAAAAAAGAGAGATCATCTTTGCATCATGTGCAAGTTTGGATTTTTGACACTCTACTGTTCCTTTCCAGTGTGCCTGGTGTTGGAGGATGATTCTCCATGGGTCTCTCATATTACTACACATCTTATGAGCAGAGGAACCAGCTGCCCTTTGGGTCCAGGCTACCATGTCAGAGTAGTTTGTATAGCAAACAGCATTGGAAGATAGAGATACTGTTTTCCTCTGGAGCAAAGGGCAGGTTCGCTTATTGTCCAGTGTAATACAGATGATGTCTCCCTTGAGGAGGTTTCTAGCAGACTATTATAAAAATCATATTTGGGCTCCCTAAGTTTGGGGTTCCCCAGCTGCATTGCAAATCCATTGCATGTGTAGCCTCCACCTGGGTCCTTCCTCATCATCCCTGTGGGACTTGGGGGCAAGGGAAACAGTCACCAAGGTACTACTCAAGCTGCTTGCTATAATACTCTTTTGTCTCTGACCCAGGAGTCTCATGTCTTCTGCCAGCATGCATGAAATTGGGCAGCTTAATTTCACAGCCTTTAAGTAGGGTAAAATCTCAGCCTCTTCACAGTTCTTGACAACTTATAGGTAAGGATTAAAAACAAACTCCCTGGCTGACTAGAAATGGGATTTGCTTCCAGGTGGGGCTGAGAGAGCCACCAGCTGAACAATTGCCATATTCTCAGGTTTGCCTGCCCCAGGTTCACCTTGCATAGGTCCCTTACCTGGGAACTCAGAGAGGGTGGTCCACAGCAAGTCCATGTAATCCTCCTCGCTCAGGTACTCACAGGCCAGGCTGCATTTTGCCTCTACTGCCTTCTTCCGACTGGAGACTAGGGTTGGGAGAGAGAAGGAGAGGGAGACTCATATAGAGAGTCTCAAATCACACCTTCCTGCTCCCCATACCTCCTTCTCTGGGATGATTCCATTTAGATGCCATAGGAAGAGCCCAGGCTCAGAGACAGACAGACTCAGGTTTGAATATCAAGCAGTAGTAGTCTAGCTTCATCTCTCTAAGTGTGAATTTCCTCATAAAACTGGAGCAAATAAAAGCACCACACAAGTGGATTGAGAGAATGAAAGTGGGCTGTGGGTACGAATGTGCTTAGCCCAGAATTAGCACATAGCAGGCACTTTAGTGGCAGACAGACTTTAGGGTGGCCCCCCATTCCCACTTCCTGGTAGTCACATTCTTGAGTGTGTGGGTGGGGCCTGTGACTTGCTTCTAGCCAATAGAGTACAGCAAAGGTGACAGGATGTATGTGATTGCATTACATAGGACTGAAATGCCCATCGGGCAGGACTGTCTCTTTTTTTTTTTTTTTTTGAGACGGAGTTTCGCTCTTGTTACCCAGGCTGGAGTGCAATGGCGCGATCTTGGCTCACCGCAACCTCCGCCTCCTGGGTTCAGGCAATTCTCCTGCCTCAGCCTCCTGAGTAGCTGGGATTACAGGCACGCATCACCATGCCCAGCTAATTTTTTTGTATTTTTAGTAGAGACGGGGTTTCACCTTGTTGACCAAGATGGTCTCGATCTCTTGACCTTGTGATCCACCCACCTCGGCCTCCCAAAGTGCTGGGATTACAGGCTTGAGCCACCGCGCCCGGCCAGGACTATCTCTTACGCTCTCCCTTGATGACTGTGAAGGAGCAAGTAGCCATGTGGGTGGCCTATGCAGTGGCAAGTAGCTGAGAGCAGCCTCTAGTTGCTGAGGGCAGCCTCAGCTGACAGCCAGCAAGAATCTGAACTTCTTAGTCCTACAACCACAAGGAATTGAATGCTACCAACAACCCAGATAGGTGGGGTGGCGGGTCCTTCCACAGCTGAGCTTCCAGATGAGAACGCAGCCTTTCAGTCCTGGCTGATGCCTTGATTGCAGCCTGGCAAAGGACCCTGCTAAGTTGTGTCTGGACTCTTGACCTACAGAAGCTATGAGATGGTAAGTGTGTGCTGTCTCAGGCCACTAAGAAACAACACACATTTATCATCTCATAGTTTCTGCAGGTCAGGAGTTTGTGGTAATGCTGTTATGCAGCAATAGATAACTAATACATGTTTATCACCTGTTCCTGTCCCTCACCACCTCCTCCTAACTTTTTTATTTAAAGTGAATTGGGCCGGGCGCTGTGGCTCATGCCTGTAATCCCAGCATTTTTGGAGGCCGAGGCAGGTGGATCACGAGGTCAAGAGATCGAGACCATCCTGATCAACATGGTGAAACCCCGCCTCTACTAAAAATACAAAAAATTAGCTGGACATGGTGGCACATGCCTGTAATCCCAGCTACTCAGGAGGCTGAGGCAGGAGAATTGCCTGAACCCAGGAGGCGGAGGTTGCAGTGAGCTGAGATCGTGCCATTGCACTCCAGCCTGGGTAACAAGAGCAAAACCCCGTCTCAAAAAAAAAAAAAAATGTGAATTGGAGTGGAACCCAGTGAGTGGCCAAAAGGTCATAGAAACAAGATTTAATCCCTGGACCAGGCAGAGTTAATAAAGAAGGATGAATGCTACATTGCTCCCTTCCTGACCTGCTTTACTCTCAAACTATGGGACTAGCCTCTTAAAGATAAAGGTGCAGTAGTCTGAAATGTGTCTCTCCAAAATTAATGTTGAAACCTAACCTTCACTGTGTTGGTATTAAGAGGTGGGACTTTGGGGACATGATTAAGTCATAAAGGCTCTTCCATCATGAATGGGATTAGTGTCTTCATTAAAGAGGTCAAGGGAGCTCCCCAGCCCCTCTGCCACTTGAGGACACAGTGTTTGCCCCTTTTTATCATGTAAGGATACCACAAGAAGATGCTGTCTATAAAGCAGAGAGCTCCCACCAGACACTGAATCCACTGGTGCCTTGATCTTGGACTTCCCAGCCCCCAGGACTGACAGAAATAAATTTCTGTTGTTTCTAAGTTACCCAGTCTAAGGTATTTTGTTACAGCAGTCCAAATGGACTCACACGACCTATCTGAAGCAGCCACTTAACAGGTAAGGCTCAGAGAGGGTGAGTGTCCCCGAAGTTGGTCCACTTACACCTTCCCTATCTCAGTTGTGGCATCTCCACCCTTCCCGTTGCTCAGGCAGAAAGCCCCAGAGGCTTCCATGACTCTTCTCTTTTATTGTATCCTATGGTCAACCCATCAGCAAATCCTATTTGTTCAGCCTTCACAGTATATTAGACTAGGATTGGCCAGATTTCACCACTGCTGAGACAGAGCAGGAGCCCCATCTCAGGAGTCTTCTGCCCACCCGCCGAAACATGGAAATAGAGGAAAATCTTGAATCCCTTCAAGGGAAATTCCAGGCACCTAGCTAGCCTTGAGAAGTAACTGAAGAACTTAATAAATAGGAAAGTAATAATACCTTAAAATAATAGCCACCCAAAGAGGTTAGAGCCACGAGATGTTTGGTTCCTTACAGAAACCAAAGATGACATCTTAACATATGTCCCTGAGTCGGTTTCAGAAACCCAGAACTCCACCAGATGGAAAATGCTGACCACCATTGAGGAGACCTCAGATAAAGGAGAACTGAGGACCCAACTCTGACCACTGCCCTTTATTATAAATCTTTTCCTGAGGGGCCTAGAGAGAGTCATGCCCACATTCCATTCTGCTGACCTCAAGTTCTTGAAAAAGCCTCATGTTCTTAACCAAAGAATCTCTAAAGCCACCTGTAAGGCCCCTTCCTCTTCAAGATATCCCAATTTTGGGGGCCAAACCAATGTACAGCTTCCACGGATTGACCTGTGACTGCCTGTAACTTCTGCTTTCCTGAAATGTACCCTGCCTGTAAAAACCCTTGCTTGAAAGTCACCCAGGAGGTCAGATGTTCAGCATGAGCTGCCTGATCCTCCTTGCTTGGTACCCTGCAAATAAACACTCTCCTTTCTCCCACTGCAAACTTCAGTGCAGATGTTTGACTTTACTGTGCTGGGTGAGGGTGAGCAGTAATACTGCTGCCGCTTTTCCCACTGACCTCCCCACCAGCCACGGTCTCTTTCTAACACTTCAGTCAAAGGGATCCTTTTAAACCTAAGTCAACTCCTCTGCTTAAAACTCTGCAATGACCTCCCATGATACACATGTAAAAGCCAAAGTCCTTCAAAAATCTTCAAGACCCTTTATTACCTGGCACTCAACACATCCTTGATCCCACCTTCTACTTCTTCCTCTGTTGCCCCACTAACTCTACTCCAGCACACTGGTCTTCTTGCTGTTCCTCAGGCAAGTAAAGCATGTGCCTGCCTCAGGACCTTTGCACTGGCTGCTCTCTCTTCCTAGATTGCCCTTTATCCCTCCCCATGATCAATTTCCTCACTTCCTTCAAGTCTTTCTTTGAATTTCACATTCTCATTGAGGCTAAGCTGATCACCCTATTGAAAACTTCACTCGAACTACTGCCCCTTTCTCTGCCCTACATTCCTATTTTTTTTTTTTTAATTTGAGAAAGCGTTTCACTTTGTCACCCAGGCTGGAGTGCAGTGGCACAATTACTGCTCACTGAATTCTTGAACTCCTGGCCTCAAGCAACCCTCCCACCTTGGCCTCCTAAAAAGCTGGGACCACAGGCACACACCACCAGGCCCAGCTAATTATTGTATTTTTTGTAGAGATGGGGATTTGGCACATTGCCCAGGTCGGTCTTGAACTGGTGGCCTCAAGCTATCCTCCCTCCTCTGCCTCCCAATTGCTGGTATTACAGGTGTGAACCACCACACCTGGGCTTGTTTCCATCTTTATGTTCATGAGTGCTCAACTTTTTTTTTTTTTTTTTTTTGAGACAGAGTTTCACTCTTGTTGCCCAGGTTGGAGTGCAATGGTGTGATCTCAGCTCACCACAACCTCTGCCTTCCAGGTTCAAGTGATTCTCCTGCCTCAGCCTCCTGAGTAGCTAGGATTATAGGCATGTGCCACCATGCCCGGCTAATTTTTGTATTTTTTTAGTAGAAATGGAGTTTCTCCATGTTGGCCAGGCTGCTCTCAAACTCCTGACCTCAGGTGATAGGCCTGCCTCCGTCTCCCAAAGTGCTGGGATTACAGGCATGAGCCATTGCGCCTGGCCCTGGACTATATTTTCAAGGCTATTTGTTTAGCAAACAGCCTTGGAAGAAAGAGAATGTCTCCCCTTGGTACAAAGAGTAGTTTAATTATGGCTTTTGAAGGTATAATATCTCTCTCCAGAGCGAAGGACAGGAATGCTTACTGTGCAGTATAAAAGATCGGGGTTCCTTAAGCTCAGGGTTCTTCTCCTGTTACATAACTCAGTCCTTTTGTAGGTATTGCCCGCCCCTCTTCCTGTTATCTTGGGGGATTTGGGGCTTAAGGAACTGGTGTAGGAAAATGCTGATACTCTGGCTACTGCAATTGTTATGAGTAATATAGTCCTTTGTCTCCGACCCAGGAGTGTTGTGTCTTCAGCTAGCACCTGTGGGAACTGTGAAAGGCTAACTTGTCAGCTTGCAATAAGGTCAAACTCAGACTTTCAGTAATTCTTTTTTTTTTTTTTTTTTTTTTTTTGAGACTGAGTTTCGCTCTTGTTACCCAGGCTGGAGTGCAATGGCGCGATCTCGGTTCACCGAAACCTCCGCCTCCTGGGTTCAGGCAATTCTCCTGCCTCAGCCTCCTGAGTAGCTGGAATTACACGCACGTGCCACCATGCCCAGCTGATTTTGTTGTATTTTTAGTAGAGACGGTGTTTCACAATGTTGACCAGGATGGTCTCGATACCTTGACCTCGTGATCCACCCGCCTCGGCCTCCCAAAGTGCTGGGATTACAGGCTTGAGCCACAGCGCCTGGCAGTAATTCTTAATTGATTCATTTATTAATGAATGA